AACGACCAATGGTCTCATAAAACTATCAGATGAACTGAGAGACCGGCGTCAGGCTTGGTTGGATAGAACGGCGTAAATAGAGAAGTCAAATATGTTCGAAACTTTTCTTTCTTGGGAACCGCATATTAGCCGGAGACGCGTGGTAGCAAAATTCAAAACTGGGAAAAACGTCGTTGAGGCAGACTGCTTCAGGAGAGGAATATGATGTTGCCCCAGGATTTAACTTTGACTTTAGTTACTATGCTGTCTAGGCCCTGCTAACATTTAGTGGCCATGACTACAGCAACAATCGTACAACCTTTCTGTTTACCACGAATTCCCTTGAACTAGGAATTTTCCCCATATTGCAACCCAAGAAATGGGTGGCATTTTGGTTACTTGCAGATATTAGAGACAACTTGGTATTCTGGTCGAGTAATGCCAAAATGGATGAAGTTTACGGTAATGCTGTCTGAGACTAGCGCCCCTTGTTGCTGCAATTCGCCTTGACTAACCTGGTAGCTCATTATCCATTGTAATGATCAGCACAGGGTATAACCCTGATTTCTTCTTAGCTACAACAAATGACAGCATTTCGGTTCCATCATTAATAATATGATTTCAGTTCATATTAACAGATTTACTCTACGTAATTACACTGTCGCCTTGCTTTTTGACTTCTGAGGAATCATTAAACTGATTACGTCTCCAGGCTGATCCTTTATCCTCAGCTTATCATAATTACACATTTGGTTGGTGGCTCGATTTCGCGTTTGTTTAACCTAACTCAAAGATGTGATTATGCATCCGATGCATTTCAAGTTCTCAAATACCATAGAACTGGGGACTCCACAAATTCTTCCCCCAAGCGTATGGGGAAGCAAATGAGCTATGTGGTACGCCCAGTAAATCCGGATTGATGATCTGATTTGACTTAGTCAAAAACTGTTTCGCTTTTTGAAGGCTGATGCTATATGGATAATTTCATTATAATATGACTTAGTTTTCTTATTTTCATTATCTTTGTCAGCTGCGAAAGCGAAGTTTATAGAAGATACTCTTTTCTTTCGCTTGGTCTCATTTTAGTCCTAATTTAACTTTGCTTCGCTAGTTAATCATTGTCTTATCTATGAGGTCCTTAACCTTTCACTGCAGCTACATCCAGGGGAAAAATACTCGATTTCATAATTTTTCCTTGTTTAAATTAAATATTATTGTTTATATATCTCAGTAATGTAAAAGTTGCTTAGAACAGCTCTAAACTTCATTTTCTTGCCGTTCCGCTCGAGGAACTTTGAAGTTGAGATTTTTAAAATTCATAATGATAATTTCTTAAATAGTATTATAAGTCGAAATAATTAACTTATATTCAATCACTATTCTGTTTCTTCTTTTGATGAAATGTTCAGCGCCATACGCGAGAACAAAGTTTTAAGAATTACAG